TAAGTCCTAGATGTGATACTATTTCTGCGTGCTGGATCAACAGTAATCCTGACACATTCTTAGAGTTGTGTTAGGCCAATGCTTCATTTTACTTTCTCCCAGAAGTAGGTGCTTTGCGCCACATACAATGTTTACATATGGTCAAGACAACTGTTGAGTATGAATACTTATGATAAGGTCCAAACATCAGAAAAAACAATCCAATCCAATCATGCATGAAAAAACTGTACATGAATTCTTTCGTCACCTTCAAGTGTGTAACAGTGCCATGAACAGCAACTCTCTCATACTACCTGCGGTAGTCAGCTAATCGGACTTCATCCGAGTCCGCTCTATTTGTCCACTTAGAAATCCTAGAGTATGACAGGGCACCCACCGCTTCACCACAGGGCTAGGGACCTTATTCTGGGCTCCAACATTCCAACTTCCGCTACCTGTGATTCTCTATAGGTCATCCACTCCCTTTGGTTAGCCTCCCCCCAGAACTACATCCCAAGTCCACCCCCTGCACATCAGCCTCCCAATGGACAAGAAATGGGACTTTATAAACTAAACCAGATTAGTGCATCTCTCCTTCATTTCTACTGTTCATTCTGTTGTGTTTCACAAACTTTTTGGTCTGGTGCCATGCGTGAGATAGAATCTTTCCATGGTGCCCATTGTTGACCACATCAGTCCAAAGTCCCACGTAGCACTGCTGTGAGAGTCTCCATATCCAGTTTTTGACCGCTAGTAGGCCTGTCTTGCACCATCTTGCTAGACTCAAGGTCTTAGCCACATTTAATAGATGTCTAGTCAGTCTTCTTATATGCAGAGAGCAGTAGTGGTGTATGATGGAGCAACATCAGTAGTGATTGTAGTTGTAGATCAGTGTCTAGGATGTCCAGTATCAGCATGTGAATCTGTTGTCAATACTGTGCTATTTTCATACAGGACCACCATATGTGAATTACCGCACCTCCAACACATCTCTGAAGACTCCATAGACATGCGGTGCAGGAGTGTAGGAGTCCTGTACCAGCAAGTGATCAATCTATAGTTCAGTTCCTGGATCTTGGAGTCCATCATATCTGGATGAGCTAAGATGTGAATTTTCTCCCACTGCTTTTTGGTCAATGCTGTCCCTGTACTCTGTTTCCATAAATCTTGCTGGGACTCTCTGCATTATAATCAAAGGCATAGAAAAAAAAGGGGTTTAGATCCCCCGATGCATCTGTTCCCTAGAAGAACAAAAACTCTCAGATGATGTGGGTTCTCTATGGATGAGGTGCCTGTCTGGAAGAAACGTATATGGTAATATCGCTGGATTCATTGGTATTTAAATCTATGCAGACCAGTTACAGCTCCTTCTTCTAGGCTAAGTTTCCTTAGTGGTTTTAAGGTGTGATTGTCACACCACCGTTGGAAGTATACCCAATCAGACTTCGCAAAGCCACGTATGTCTGAGGGTGATATGCCTCCCGCTACTTGTGGATTCTGCATGAAAGGGGTCAACGGGGACAGGGTCATCACATTATCTGTACACCATAACCTCAGCATTGCGTTGATGAAAGGGTGCTCTTGCATCAGTTTTTTTTTCATTGGCTCAGTCAGCCAAATTAGAGAGGGAATACCTCCCTTCAAAGTTTCTGAGTATTTTAAACATGCCAATCTATTAGTCTGAGAAGGTGAGTATACCGGTAGTAAGTCTGTATATATAGAAAGAAAAGAATAAAGAAAAAAAACACAACGCATTTCTCCCCCTTAGGGCTTTCTCAAGTGGTAAAAAGACTTGAGAAAGCCCTAAGGGGAGAAACGCTTTGTGGTTTTTTGTTTTTGTTGTTTTTTTTAAAATTCTTTATTTTTGCATGCATAAAGAAAAAACACTGTTACAGAAGCGTTTGCCATGCCCCCATAGCATATACATGTGATATAACAATAAACATGAAATCAGTAAGGCATGACATGGAAACACAATGCACTTTTTTATATATATTTTGCTATTTGCAAACGTGATGGAGACAGTGCTGGTTAGGCTTAGACTATTGTGGTAAAGAGATGATTAGTTTAGGCACTGTATCTGATAAAAATTCCTCCTGGGAGGCTCCCCAGATAAATCAGGCTAAAGTCTCTCTATGAGAACAAAATAAAGAAAACATGCTAGTAAAGGTAAATTAAACAGTTGTTACTCTTGACACATGTCTTAGGTGTTATAGGTGTACTGTTAGAGTACCGTGTGTGAGATGCTCAGTTCTTGTGCACAGTGCTGAGGTCAGCCAATGCCTCTCTGGGGTGCTCCACTTTCCTGCCAAGAGAGTCCCACATGCATGACTTGGAGAGAAGGCATGTTTACGGAGATTTGCAAGCTTCTCCTGTGTGGCCTCGTGATCCGGTGTTCTATCAGTCTGGTATACTCCGTCAGATTGCTATACCCACGTCACTTCCGGGGAGGGGAATCAGCTGTCTCCTGTGCTGCACATGCGTGCTAGCACTCCTGCTACTCCTCCACAGCAAGGTCCTGGAAGGTAAGTAAAACTAGTTTTACACTTTCATTATAGTTAGTGCATTCACTAAGCTTAGGCACACGGGACATTTAGGGTTAAGTGAGGGTACAAATTAGGGTTAGGTAAGTGCTTCTAACCTCTCTCACACTCTATTCTTACCCTAACCCTTGGGGTAAGGGTTAAAATAAAGTGTGAGAGAGAGCGGCCACACTTTCCCGAGCTCCGACCTTCGGATCTACATTATTGCGGTAAAACTGCATAAAACATACCGGTACCCAACCTCAAGCTGTCACACTGCTACCTAAGGGCACAATGGGTCGAAAAAACAAGAAACAGAGAGCGGACAGAGGTCCCTTCTGCCACGATATTGGTGAGATGTTGCGAGGCCCTCAAAAACCAACATGGGACAAAATGGCGTCGGGAGACGATGGCTCCTCGTACTCCTCGGAGGATCTCTCCTACAACCCTGGGGTAGAGACCAGGATCAATCAACCAGCGGTGCCTAAAGCCAAGCCACCGGCTGCCGGAGACCCGGTCACAGCCGCCCAACTTAAGGATATGCTTTCTGAATTAAGAGCGAACATAGCGGCGGACATGGCCCATTACAAAGACGCCATAGATGGGGCCGTACATAAAATAACCCTCCTGGAGGCAAAAACGGACACATATGACTCAAGGCTCACCGCAGCGGAACACGCACTGGCGGAGCTCCAAAAGAAACAAAAAGCCATAGCAGACAAAACTGAAGCCCTGGAGGAGCGCAGGCGGCGCACCAACTTGAAAGTACGGGGAATCCCAGACTCAGTGAGTGTGACCGACTTACCGCACTATATACGGCGCCTGCTTAATACCCTACTGCCGCCGAAACAAGCCAAAGCGATCAAGATTGAGGGCATGTTCCGACTACCGAAGCCGGCGTCTGCACCAGGGGAGGCGACGGCAGACCTGATAATCAGATTTCAAACCTTACAAGACAAGATTTTGATCCGTACAGCGGCCCGCGGGCACACCCCTCTCTTGTTCGAGGGATCCACCCTATCACTGTTCCCAGACCTCACCAGAGGTACCATCGCATGGCGCAAGACCCTACAGCCACTACTGCAGAAACTACAGGCCAAAGACATTCCTTACCGTTGGGGGTTCCCACGAGCTCTGTCCTTTACTCACCAGGACTTGACATACAAAGCTACGACTTTCCAGGAGCTGGAACACCACCTCCTAAGCCTGAGCCTGAACAGGCCAGAGAAGTCAGCCACAACAAGCCTGGCGGGCATCAACCCCTCAACCGTACCGGAGTTCACCCCCCGTTCCGTGCAACGGAAAACGCACGCCAGGGAAGAAACCTGAACGTTAATGCCTTAGTGGCTGGACTGTCACTCTCATGTCGGGCCCACAGACGGCCGACACCGTGAACAGACCGTTAAGTTACCGCAAGTTGTCATTGTTCTTTTTGTTCCTTTTGTTTACCGCTCTTCTCCTTCTCCTTTATACGCTCCTCCACCACAAATAGCTGGTCACCTGGGGTCATACTCCCTTAAAGTGCACTATAATGCACCCTCAGCAACTGGGGACCAACTGGGTCCATATCAGGGACCAGCCCTACTTCTCCCTCCCCCCCGGCCCTAGTCAAGATGAGTAGACATCATACATACGCCTCAACTCAGGGGTCATACTCTTTTATTCTTTTAGGGGCTCTGATACACAGGCCACTTACTCAAATGAGAAAACCATGAGACCCCCTAACATGTTTCTCACATGTAACGCTCATGTCTTCCCCACTCACTAGCACAACCCTGTACCCCTGGAGATATCGCTAACAGGCACACTCGTAGCCCATAACCAAGGCCACACTAATCTTACTCTACCAACTCTAAAAAAGTGCTGGACTATGCATGCCATGTCATTGTACAGATTATATGTAATGCGCCTGTATTTGTTGTTGTGGCGAATCAGGCCATATTGTTATATGCTGCACGCAAAAATAAAGAATATAAAAAAAAAAAAAAAATAAAGTGTGAGAAATCACTATTTAGTGATATTCCCCTAATGTGAAATATCACTAAATAGGAACAAGTCCCTAATCCTAACCCTAATTTGAACCCTAACATTAACCCTAAATGTCCCATGTCCTAAGCTTAGTGAATGCACTAACTATAATGAAAGTGTAAAACTAGTTTTACTTACCTTCCAGGACCTTGCTGTGGAGGAGTAGCAGGAGTGCTAGCACGCATGTGCAGCACAGGAGACAGCTGATTCCCCTCCCCGGAAGTGACGTGGGTATAGAAATCTGACGGGGTATACCAAACTGATAGAACACCGGCGTGAGCTGTGAGTCGGGTTCTTTGTTGTGGTCAGGTCTGGTTGTGGCATGCTTCGCGTTATATCATTCTCTGCCTTTCTCTTGTTGGGATACCTGGGAGGGTTCCGATGGGCAGCTCGCGTTCGTAGTGAGCTGGGTTGCTTGATCCGCCATTTTCGAGCCCCTTGTACTTTAAGCACCATAAGTTTGTCACGTGATCATGAAGGCAGCTTGTGAGGTAAGTTTTCTTTCGCTTCTGGCAACGGAACCTGTCTCTGCCTGAGTTCCAGCTTTCTCCAGAAGGCAGTGAATAAGCTGTCCAGTCTAGCTTCGAGGTCCCAGCATGTGTGAGAGCACATGGCGTCTGCCATTTTCTGTTTCTCCATGGCTGTATGCTGCTCGATCAGTAACTGCTTATGTGTCTCGTGGAGCAGGGTTGCCTCCCTGGAGTGGACCGGGATCACCCTGGGGACCCCAATGAATCCGCACTGCCATTGGCAGGCCGAGGAGAGCGACTGTCTCGCCCCATCTCTGCCATCTGCAGGCCTGCGGTTAACCATCTCGGGCTCCCTACCTCAAAATCACACGGGTAAGGTATCTGGGGATACACCAGAGCCCCCCTAGCTTGGGTTGAGCTATGTGGTGCTTGTTCAAGTTTTGCAATGACAATTTTCTTTGAAAAAACCCCTGAAATAGTGGGAGCCCTGTGAAGATGCAGCTGTTTGATTTGGCTTGCCGGTCAGACTCCGCCCCCCGCTTTGTGGTTTTATGCTGTAGTTAAATAAAGTATTTTTGCTACCTCACTACCTGCCTTTTAGCCATATATTTTTAGAACGTATTTATTTTTATACTTTTACCTGACATCTGAACCCATTACCTACTGTGGACAACCAACCAAAGAAATCCTTGGTGGGGATTATACCACCCAGGTTTGATACATAGAGCGGTTAGTCTGCTCACTCTATTGTAAGTATATTTTTATTTTGATACTTACCTATCTAAATAGAGAGCACAATTGGCTGCTTTTTTGTCGTTCCATATGATCTACCTCATAAATCACAACGTTATCCAGTTGTGATTTACTATCATTCTACTGTGTACCAAAACCAGGGACATCCTGCAAGTGGGGATTGCATATCACTGCATGCTGTTGGTTATAGCTCTACCATATGTGAGTTGATATCTTATATAAGTGTTGTTTGTCCTACTACATATTACCATATTGCACTATTGGTTTGCCTCTGTTTTTGCTTCCTTTTCATATACTGCTATTAAACGAAGCTATCAAAAAAGTCCCATACCAGTACTAGAAGATCTATTGCCACCTTTGAGACTGTGCTGTACCATTTGGTATTTTTTATTCTTTCAATTATTATTGTCAACTCTTTTTATATCCTGTGTGTTTTTTATTGCTCTTATTATTATATACTATTGTGTTTGGAGCATTTTTCTTGGCGCTACCTGTATATTGTTGTTTGACTTGTTTCTTCCAACGATCTTGACTTCCCCAGGCACCACCAACAATAAAACCAGTAAGGGCTCATAAGTGCTATAAATCAGAATATGTAACCACCCCGCATGTCCATATATATATATAGTCCTTGTTTCAGTTTCCTGTTGGTCTATGTTCCTGTCTGATCTTTCACCTGTGTTCTGTTGATATCCCAGACCTTTAGACACTTTAAGTCCCCTGTGGGAGTTTCAGTTTACTTCTTTGCTGCTTTTGCATTCCACACATGATTTTTTTTCAATAAGGCCGGTTTTTAAGAAACACTATACAACATATTGTTGCAATGTCATAAACTAACCAGTGTTTAAAAATGACAAGTTAGCAAGTTTTTGAGATAAACAGTTACTTTCTTTTGGTAGGGCTTCAGAAAAAGCCCTAACTTTATAAAACGTTATGTATGATACGATACCTTACTTAATCTTAATTAGATCATTTACTTTGTAGCTTTCCAAATAATCATATAAAGTAATAGTGATTAGTTATCCTCAATATCTGGAGGAAAGATGTGATATCCTGATTTTACTAACATGTTTATTTGTAAACACCGGCTTAATAATGGACATTTCACATTTACATTCTATCTTAATCTTAATAAATGTTATAATACAACTAAATATAATAGTAGAAATTAACCATTTCTTCTTACTTATATTGGATTGTCTATTTGTTATTAATTTTCTTTGTATATCTTATAAACGTAAAATCTATTTAATTTCTACTCATTTGTGGGTGGATCTTAGGGGCCAAAACCTTATTTGATAATTGTTTGTGTATGTTTAGACCTCAATGGAACATGCTGAAGAATTGACATTTATTCTTGACCTCTGACTTATTTATCGTCAGATCTCATACTTAATCTCCTAAATGAAAGGACCCCCGTTTTGGCGCGGATCTATGATTATAAACAGGCACATCTGTTCGGAACAAACCTGGATTGGCTGACGACAGTCTGGGGGCGTACTTCAATACATTTAAAAGAACTTTTTGCATGTAGGATATTGTACTGACTTGTTTTTTTGGACACATTGATTTTTTACACCCCTGAGGAAGTCTCATATGAGATGAAACGCGTTGTGTTTTGTTTGTCATATGTATTTTATTGATTGATTTTATTACATTTTGATGCCATTTTTTGCATTTTTCATCTGATGTTTGGGAAGATCATGTGTAATTAGCACTAGCACATTACCATTGATCCAGTGACTTCAGAGATTCTGCTGATGGGCTTTTTAGTATCCTTTATCTTGTAAGTGTTAGTGTGTACAATAAAGCAACTTGCTCACTACTTGACAGTGTTGCACTTTATTTCTCCACTATTTTTTTTTACATGCACTTCTGGGAGAATTGAAGAATTAACATCACTGAAAACATCATCAGTTTGAGATGAGCCTGTTTTTTATCGTATACTTGTGAGATAAACCTTGAAATTTCCCTCATTAAGTGTATTTTACGTATTACCCTATTATGGTCTTTGTCCTTTTTATATTTTGTAGATACACCTTTTTTATATATTGTGTATTTGAGGAACTTTTAAGGAATCCTTGTGCTATCTACTCTATTTACATTTGGTAATAATTCTTTGGAATTTATTTTGCACTGTATTACCAGGATGAGCGTGCTACTTGGTTATATTTGAAGATATTTATGGGAGTTCTGACATCACAGAATACACTACAAAGATAATTTACAGGCTTCAATAACAGTTTTCAATGTTCCATAAAATACAGGGTGCTGCAACTATAATTATTGTTTGTGGTCGAACACTACATGCAGATATTAGTTTTACATTCTGCTGGAACCAAGAACTTGCATTCCAAAAAAGAAAAATGCCATTAGGTCACTACAAATACCCATAAAATCATTTTTATTTTGTTGTCATACCTACTTTAAGTGACAAAACTGCAATTTCTGCCATAAGGGGTACCATATAAAGTATCTACTCGAGTATAAGTCGACCCGAATATAAGTCGAGGCCCCTAATTTTACCCCAAAAAACTGGGAAAACTTATTGACTCAAGTATAAGCCTAGGGCGGGAAATGCAGTATCTACTGGTAAATTTCTAAATAAAATTAGATCCCCAAAAAATTATATTAATTGAATATTTATTTACAGTGTGTGCATATAATGAATGCAGTGTGTGTGTTTGTGTAGTGTGTGTATATAATGAATGCAGTGTGTGTGTATATAATGCAGAGTGTGTGTGTGTGTTTGTATGAATGCAATGTGTGTATATAATGCAGTGTGTGTATATGATGCAGAGTGTGTTTGTGTATGTGATGCAGAGTGTGTAACCTTGGTGGGGGAAGGGCATTTTTTGTTATTTATTTTTGTTATTATTTTAATATAAAATTTTATTATTTTTATTTTAATATTATTACATTTTATTTTATTATAATATTATTTACATTTTTTTGTTTTCATCTCCCTTCCCTGCTTGATACATGGCCAGGGAGGGGGGCTATATTATTCCCTGGTGGTCCAGTGTTTGGGCTGTGCAGGAGGGGGGCTGGGAGCAAGCTGTTACTTACCTTTACAGCAGCTCCGTTCAGCTCTCTTCTCCTCCATGCCGTTCAGCGCCAGTGTAAGTCTCGCGAGAGCTGCGGCTGTCAGAGCGTTGCCACGGATTAGGGCTCTGACGGCCGCAGCTCTCGCGAGACTTACACTGGAGCTGAACAGCACGGAGGAAAAGGGAGCTGAACGGAGCTGCTGTAAAGGTAACTAACAGCTTGCTCCCAGCCCCAAACAGGACCGCCGGGCTTGTAATGAGCCCGGCGGTCCTGGTCTGTATTATGGCAATGTAAGCTGCCATAATACAGACACTGACTCGAGTATAAGACGAGTGGGGCTTTTTCAGCACAAAAAATGTGCCGAAAAACTTGTCTTATACTCTAACTCGAGTATATACGGTATATAAAAAATATCTATTATATTTCTGCAAAGGTTGAATACATGAGCAGAAAGGTGTGACTTTACATAATTCTATCATGATGGATATTCGTAACAGCAATCTATACATGAAAAGTAATTTTATTCTGCATTTATTTATTCCATGCCATGTTTCAAATAAATGTTATAGTATTTTCTTTTATTCATTTTGTTTTTATAGACAGTGGAAAAATGTTTGTAAATGGACAAATCCAGTTGATTATATACAATGCCAAACTTTACACCATATTAAGAAATGGCAAGGTATAATAGATAAAAAGAAAATAGGATACTAAAAAGAAAAGAAAAAAAAAACCTCTGTAGTGAAGGGGGTGAAAGTTAAACTATATTTGTCATTCCATAACCACTCTGTAATGTAGTGGGCTTGATTGTTCCGCCAAGTTTATTCACAAAAGTGTAACCTGTTGGTAATACTAGTGAATTTAAAATGATTTTCAAAATTTAGGGCAAAATAGTCAAACTTAAAACATACTTAAGTAAGGTTTTTTTTCTTTCCAGATCAGCAGATGTTTTGACCTAGAATTTGAAATTCACAATGTTCTATATGGTGGCGGAGAAAGAAACAGAGTGTGGAACTTTAGGGTTAAACTGTTAAAAAAAATTGCCAATATCCACAAGACATGCTCTTCAAAAACGAATGTTCTCAACAAGGACCTGCGTGTCCATATGCAAAGCTTATGGTTTATGGACCTGTGTGTCTCACAATGTTTTTCTTTTTTCTTCTGAAATAAAAATAAATTTACCAAAAAAATAAAAAAATCTCCAAAATATCTGCATATATCTTGCTGCAAACAATAAGAAGTAAAATAAAACTTAGCTTAAATCCAGTTCCCCACGATCATTTCCCTGCCAAATACAGATTGCTCTGCATACACAGTGTTTCAAGCAGAAATGCTGCTTATACAGATACTTCCTCCATGATTATGTCTAAAAACAAAAGTGGTCATGGAATAACCATTTAATAACACATAAGAGGCTGCTGTAACTTTAGCATGAAATTAACAGAGCAGGAAACAAGAAATTTAGTCACATGGTGCAATGCAGGAAACTAAAAAGTGTAGACTCTTTCTCAGGAAGTGTATAGGAAGACTGTGAGTCACAGC